ATACAATGTTGGCCGCGCTTCGTTCACTCTTTATTACTCACCAAATCCGCTAATGAATCTAATTCCTGGCCCAAAATGCTGGAGGAATTTCTCCATCTGGCAACTTTTCCATCCAATAAATCAAACAACATTCCTAATGGCATGAGCAGCATGCTTAACCATAGAAACCATTCTTCTTTTGTGGTCATATACTGTATGCATGAAAAAATAGAGTATGAACCGCATAAACCATTTGCTAAAGTAATGAAATCCGCAAGATGAAAATTTCTGAAAAAAAAACGAATTCGTCGAATCAATAACTTTAAAATTTTTTAAAACGTTCCACTAAAGTTTAAAATACTTTGATAATATACCGAACTAATGAAAAATGTTTATAATCTTCATTAAAATGCCTCAATTCCATTTCGTTCTTTTTGGAAATAGTGCTTTCCATTATCGTTACGTTAATTTATTTTAAAAATCTTTAAAAATCGAGTTTGATTTTTTTTTTGAATAATTTTATTATCGTAATCATTATCGATATTGTTAATTTATTCAATTATTACGATTAGTAGAAATCAGGTTTTTTTAAAAAGGCATTACGTATATATTACTGTATTACTGTATTGCTGTATTACTGTATGTTGCTGTACATGTGTAAATTGTTTTTGGGCTAAAAATTCTGCCATTACCGTTTTTTTTTTGGTTATTGATATACGTAATAAATCTGTATATAAAAAATTAAGGAATGCGGAATGTGAAACACTATGAATAAGTAAAAAAAATCTGTGCGGATTTGCTCATACATGTACCACAGATTCAGACAAAAATATCCTTTATGTAAAATTGTAATGTATGACGTGATATTTACATAGAAAGTTAGGCGGAATTTAATAGATCTTAACGCAGTGAGGCTTCGAATCATTTGTTTGTTGTGGCTAATGTACTACTTAAAGCTGTACTTGGCATTTATGTATCGGGTATTATTTCGTTCATAATACTCTACGTAACACATTAAGGAATCCGGCTTGGCAGCATTAGATTCAGACTAAGCGGTTGTGAAATTATTATAATTGAGTCTTAGACTTTTAGTTATATTATATACATAGGTATGGTACCCAAATCTTTTGACTATCGTCTAAAAGTACTAGATTGAAGCTGTTACTTCGCATCACTTCTGAAAATAGTTTAAGAGATGATTCATACTAATTTTTCCTGCTCGTGAAAGTCACATTTGGTTATCATATTTTAAGCCACAATATTAATAGATTCAACTAAAATCAAACATTTATCATAATTCTCACCAAGAAAAAGACCTTCTTACTATGTCTCGAGAAACATAGGAAATACAATTATGGTTATGTATTGTTTGAAATCAGTTGATTTCAATAAATAATTAACCTGATCATGAGATAAGTAATTAAACCTGAATCACGCTATGAATGATCCTGAAATGATGAATCTAACGAAAAGATTTTCTGTTGATAGCCCAAATTGCTTTAAAACAAAATATCATATTTTGAAATCTGTGTTAAATATTTGTATTGCACCCGAAAAGAATGGGACCGAAGACTACAGTATATCTAGTCTCCGAAACCTCTTAAAGTCGCCGCAACTTGAAACCTGAAACTCAATACTTTGTAGGTAAGAAAAAATTCTAATTTGGCAAAATGAGACTAAACAATTCGACTAATTTTAGTAATATCGAACCAGATTGCATTAAAATGAATAAGGGAGAGTCGGGTATTCTGGCGCGGGAGGTAATGTGGCGCACTGAAGTTTTTTTAAAATATCTCGTAATACAATGACCAGAAACGAACGATTTTAACACCATTTAATTCGCCTTATCAAGACGAATCGAATGGTGTTAAAATCACTTTAAAAAGAACCCTTGGAACTCTTGGCCACAAGATTCAAGCAACGTTAATAAAAAAATACTAAAAATTAGTTAAAGTGTATTCGGCACTCCCAGCGCCCCTTAAGAATCTGCTTCTTTTAGTAATTTATTATTTGTACGTACGTACGTATTATTGATTTAAATGTTGAACTCGGCCAATTATAAAGTCTATGCAGTATGTAGATATTACTATATTTGCAGTGCACCGAAATACCCAATAAAATTATGTCTAAAAAATCGGTTTCAAAAAACAAATTTTTTTATTTTTTTTTCATTAGCGCATAAAACTAATTGATTTAAATGAATTTTAGATATAAAAATTAATTTATAAAATTTTAATTGGCAATAGAGCTTAGGTGTGCCAGAATACCCAACCCTCCCTTAATAACCCCCCAAAACTGATTTTTCGCAAAAAAAAAAAATTATAAATCCTTAGAAAGCGATTTGTTTCACTTATTTTATGTTCTTGGAAGATGTTTCGCTCTCTATATCATTAACCATTTTCGGATTGTGAACAAAGTATGATTCGATCGAATACCATACATAAATACATAAAATTGGAATTTTTCGTGATTTGTATGATAACTGCTTAAGTAATAAATGATTTCGATTTATTGATTGCGATTTTCATTTGTTTTCACCAGGGATGGCACGTCACAATGTCCAATTGGTTTCAAAGTTTTTGGACATATGTCCAATTGAAATTGGACATATGTCCAAAAAAAATTGAAACCAATTGGACATTGTGACGTGCCATCCCTGTTTATAAATTTTTGACAACCATATTTTTAAAAGGATATACATAGCATTACTGCTCGCAAATTTCCGAACTACGAATCAGAAAAATATCCGTCTCGTCAAAAATCGCGAAATTCCGCATGTGAAGTTCTTCTTGATTTTACTGTATAACTCACTAATGTCTATCTTAATATATACAAGCTAGCCCTAAAATAACGAACTTTCAAGAATTTTGTCTGTGTCACAAATCTGGCACACATTCTAAACGTGATTATTAGGGGAAATCGCTGTTGGGAAAGTATGTCGGAGAAGCGGTTATGGTCAGGAAGGGGAAGTGAATGTTAGGGAAATGAAAGTGTTGGGGAAAGTGAATGTCGGGAAAACGAAAGTGTCGAGGAAGTAAATGTCAGGGAAGTGAATGTGGGGAAATGAAATGTTGTCGGTAGGAATGTTACGTGGTCTGGTCTTAGACTAATGAAATGTTTTCGGTAGGGATGTTACGTTGGGGAGCTCGGTGTATTATATAAATCAAAACTATATGTGGTGTCATAGAAAAGTCTATTATGACAGATTTTTAAG